ATTGCCCCTTTTCCTTTGACAATTGCCCCTTTTCCTTTGTAAGAAGTGCCCCTTTCCCTTTTAATAACTATTTATTTTTCAACTCGGATAAGCGCACCTTATATTTTCACATGTGCCCCCTTTCCTTTATAATAAGTGTCCCTTTTCCTTATGATAAGTGCCCCCATTTAACAAAGAGCCCTTCGCCTTTTCATAAATGCTCCTTTTCACCGATGAAAATAGTCCTTTTTCATTCTCCTACTAGTGCTCCTTTTCATGTTTCGTAAATGACCCTATTCAATTCTGAGAGACAATCGTTTTATTTTGATAAGTGTCCCCTCTTCCTCCTAATATTAGTGCTCTTTTCATCTCTAATAACACCCCTTTTATTTTGACACGTGCCCCTTTTCCTTCCTTATAAGTGCTCTTTTTCCTTCATAATTTCCGCTTTTCATAACAGCCCCCTTTCACCTCCAATAAATGCCCCTATCAAAATCTGATCGGTGCTCCTTTTCTTTCAACAAATGCACATTTCCCTTTATTATTAGTGCCCCTTTTTCATTCTCATAAGTGCCTCTTTCATATATGGTGTTTGCTCCTTTTCACCTCTGATAATTAACCTTGTTTAACAATGATACGTGCCCCTTTTCATTTCTTATGAGGAACCTATCCCTTTTTCATAAATGCCCCTATCAAAATCTGATGGCTGCCTCTTTTCCGTCGACAAATGCCCAATTTCCATGCTCATAAGTGCCTTTTCATCCCTGGTGAGTGCCCCATTTTCACCTCTGATAATAACCCTTTGTACTTTGACACGTGCTCCTTTTATTTTCTAATAAGTGTCTTATCCCTTCGATAAGTGTCCCCCTTTCCTCTCATCATTAAACGTGCCCCTAATTTCAAGCGACTAAGAGCAATCTCTCCCAAAGCTCGCTCGCTACGCTCGCTCACATTTATAGATGTTATAATTATGTTACTTATCAAAGGTCTTTTCAGTTTGCTGTCATGAAAATGTGCTTATTTATAACCCGAAGAGGATTGGTTTTTTCCTCTTTATAAGATGTAGTTTTCGCACTGTGACCTCACAAATCTTATATTTTTCCTCGCTCGCAAATGATTTTTTCGACCATCACACCCAACTGCAAGGTATGATGCTTTAAAAAGCAATATTTTATACGATATATAAAGAGAAACAAATATTGAAATCATCCCTGATAATGTAATCGAATTTGAGGGGTAAATACTAATGTCTAAAAATTGTTTATTTTCGCTTTGAGATTTCCTTTTGTAGGTGCCCTTTTTTCCCAGAAAGTGCCCTTTTTTGTTTTTGTTGGTGTCCCCCCACTTTGGAAGTCGCTCTGCAGCCTCTGGGGAACATGCATATGCGTACCCTAAATAACACCGAGTAGGGGGCCGGGGAATATTGGCGTGAACAATACAAAAGTAAGGCGTAATTATGGCATAAGTATGACGTCAGTATGTCGTAAACGTGACGGGACAATACATGTCATTCATGATGTTAAACATTGCACGAACGATGCACGGTATTCGTGCAACTAAATAGGGGCTTTTAGATTTACACGACGAGAGCGTGGACTGCCGCGTGTGACATTGTGTTAAGGAAGGATGTCACATTACAGGATGGCACACGTGGCGGTCCACGTTTTCGCCGTGTAAATCTAAAAGTCTCTAATGTCAAGCACTGGCACGCCTCAATGCGGTGCAATGCGGGAACAATTCGCGCAAGTGTCAGGGCATGGCTTTACTGTTAGTGGCCACTAAGGCCCATTAGTGACTTAAAAAAAAACATATGCTCTTCCAGGCTGTTTGGGAATGTGTCAGTTTGCAACAGAAATTAAGAAACGCGCATTTTGTTAAGAATCGTGTGATATCACGAAAATGTATAAGTCATTTGTTTTTAATTGAAAATAAGTCATGGTTTAATTTTATTTGCCCCCCCCCCCCCCCACCAGTTTTCCAGTGTGTTCATCCATGTAACAATGATAACGCTTTCAAATTATTTTTCATCTCTTCCCAGAATTCAACCTTCTCTTGAAAACTTTAGTTGATTATGATAATATTTGTACATAGAAATGCTTGTATACAAAAGTAAGATCTCTGATACGTGGTTGTTCCGCTGAGATTGAGACTGGCCCCTCTGACCGCCTCTATACATAGACTGAAGATCATCCTATTGGGACTGTACGGGAGGAAGGGTTCGGTTCGGCCGGACCACGATGAATGAGAAATGCAACGAGTTATTCACTCTGTACGTCTTCATATGTCCACTTTGGCTCCAATATTACACTGATTCTTATTTAAGATTAAAAAATAACACAGAAATATCTACTGTGACTTACGATAGCTTGCTCATGATTCACAAAAGTTGTCCAATAAATGCATTCAAGCATTATGTTTCTTTTTGCATTTCGTTGACGTTACGGTAAAACTAGGCACACTTTATACTACGCTCTGCACGGCAAGTTCACCATCCTTTCCGCAATAAGGCCTACCGCTTTATACTTCGGGGCTGATTTAGTACAAATGTCGTTTTCTTTTATTCACCTTCCTGCTAATGTTCTTTTATATTTATACTTCAATTTGTTTAGTATTGATTTAGAGGAACATGTATATATTTCATGTAGGCCTGCTTGAAGGGAAGCTGATGAAATATTAAAGAACTACTTTGCAAAGAGACTGTGTGCTGTGAAAATACATCTGAAGAACCGTCGTAATGATAATGTCAGACTTCTCTCCTGCTTACTATGTTAACCAGATTTTGAAAATAATTATCGGTTCGATAATCATTTTTGGCGGACGTTTGTACGCAGGAGAATTTGATCTCGGTTGCTGCAAAGTTGTGGAATGAACTACAGTGCGTCCCAAAAAAAACTATACACTTTTGAAATGGCTGCCGAATAAAAAAATATATGATTCTGGGGGAAGATTTTGATATGTATGGAAAGCTCATAAACTCAACTTTCATATGACACCAAAAAGTCTGAACATAATTTATGCTTGAGTGAGCACTGGTCACTTTTGTAAATGATATGAAAACTAGGTTGCGCAGGAATTGGCCTTCCAATTTGTGAGAGGTAAATCCTTTGGAGCTTACGGAATTGAGGATGATATGACCAATTTATGATCAACTGTGGTGATTTTGGGTTTGGGTGAAATTTGTGGTTAATGGGATTAACATTTTATGCATGAGTGAACAGGAATTGCATTTGTTATTACCGTAGACTCAGTGGTGTGTTAATGGGAGTCAGGACGGGGTGATGGTACATGGTGCAGGGGAGGTGAAATGTAGGGTAGGACTTTGTTGGGTAGATGGGATAAGGGTCAAGAGGACACGTTTGCCCCTACCCCTCTCTCTCTCTCTCTCTCTGCCTGGGTGTGCTTTTGCATATCTTGATAATTCATTAGACAATCAACATTCAGCTTACATCACTTAATCAACAATGTACGGTATCAGTCAATCGGTCAATCCATTAATCAATCAAGCATTCAATCACCGTTCAGTATTTCAATCAATTTAATCATTCAATAAATCAATCATAATTAATCAATAACTCAGTCAATCACTCAATCTATCAACCAACCAACCAGTCATTTTAGCACTTGAGTTTCTGTAAATGGTAAATGGGTAACCTGAAGAATAAGTAGCCAACATCTGTGATATTCCTTTTTCAACAAACCGTATTTGAATAATCAATTTACATAATCCCCAGCTGGTTATTAGGTAAATCAATGAGATGTTCAACTAATCTTACAATAACTGAAATGTGGGTTGAAGGTTTTTATTCAAAGCCACAGATGTAAAAAAAAAAATAAGAGTGTGTAAGATGGAAATTACAACATGTACCATCACCCCATCCTGACTCCCATGAACACACCACTGAGTCTACCAGAGAAAGTTACAATGCTACAATAAAAAAATGAAATTCCTGTTCACTCGTGCATAAAATTTTGGTTTAATAAACCATGAAATTCACTCAGCAAATCATGAATGTATCATATCACCCTCCATTTTGTAAGCACCAAAGGATTGAGCTCTCACAAATTGGAAGGCTAATTCCTGCGCAACCAAATTTTCATACACTTTACAAAAGTGAGCAGTGCTCACTCAAGCATGAATTATTTTCGGACTTTTTGGTGTCATATGAAAGTTGAGTTTATGAGCTTTCCATACATATAAAACTTCCCCCCCCCCCAGAATTATATATTTTTTTATTCAGCAGCCATTTCAAAAGTGTATAGTTTTTTTTGGGACGCACTGTATATACCTCTTTGTAAGTCAGCTTCAACTGCCTAGTTCAAGGAGCTTCTGAAGTCCTACTCATTTTGCCAAAAAACAATGGATTGTATTTGCTGAACTGGTGCTTTTAAAGCGACATCTTGTGTTAGTGGCCCAAGCATGTGAAGCGATATTTGCAGCGCTTTGTAATTACAAAAAAAGGGCACTAGGCCTAAATCAAATACTTTTTTGGATTGGATTGGATTGGATTAATCATACTTCTGCATTGAAGGTAAAATTGTTATAGCTAGCTTCAGGATGTGGTCTTGGGGCTATGTTATTGTTGTTAGCAAATTCTTCAGCTTTCTGAACCTTCGATTTGGGTATACTTTTAAGTATGTTATTTCTGAGGTCGAATACTACTTGAAACCGTTACAAAAAACCTTTGATGCAAATTTATGATCTGACTATTCAATAAATGGGGCCTTACAATGATGAAGCCAATAGTGTATATCATTTGACCGATATGCTTTCATGCATCCTCTTTGTATTGACTTGTATTTGCATGTTGTTGATATTGCAAGTTCATCGTCAATTTTCGCAATACAGGCGTATACTGCTTGTAACTTTGAAACACTTGAAATCACACTTCTGCATTGAGGGTACAATAGTCATAGAAAGATTCAGTATGTGGTCTTCAGGCTACGGGATTGTTGTTGGCAAATTCGTTGTACTTTTTATTGAAACTGGCATCGCGAAATCTTTCGGTGTTTTTATTCCGACAATGGTCGAGCGTCTTGAGTCAGATTATGCTACTGTCGGATTGATATGTAGCTTGCCTGCTGCATTGATGTATCTCGGATGTAAGTAAAATGTTATATATATACACATTGTTGGTAGTAGTAGTACGAGTGGTAGATGTAGAAGTAATGGTATTAACGATAATTGTACTTCTACGTAACTATCATGATAATGATCATCATCATCTCCATAATTTTAGTATCAGTATTAATTAAACAATAATGATAATAATAGTAATGATAATAAGGATAATAAGGGTAATAAAATGATACAAACGATGGCAATACTAACAACAACTTCAACAACTCAAATGATAATCGTAATAATATCAACATCATAAACATCATAATCATCACAGGTCAACTCAACAGTAGTAGTATTTTTTATTGCTGTTCCTGTTGTTCCCTGATTTCTGGTTGGACTGTAATTATAGACCTAATGGTTAAGTCAAGTAAAATAAAACATGACGAAAAATTTTGTTCTTCTAATTCTCAAACTACAGGGTACCCAATAACTTTACCTGCTTAGAAAGTGGCGAATGTAAATTGATATCTTGCCAAAAACATAACCGGGGTAATGCAGGGGGTCGGAGCTGCAACCACCCACCTCCCCTCCCCCACATGCCTCTCATTTTTTGTCCTCGTCGTCCTCGTCGTCCTCGTCGTATCCCTTCTCCTCCACCTTGATATTACTCCTGATTTGTTTGGGTAATCGTCGCCCTAATTTTCGGGCAGCACTAGAATATAATCGTGTTTCATGTAAGTATAACTCTGACATTTCAATAATGGGGAATTCGTAAACGTTTCTGAAAACAGTGTTTACTTTTACACGTGATTACCTGATGTGTTTTCTTATTTGTCAATTTTAATTTAGTATCTTATCTCGTTATTTGTCAATATATTAGGTCCTGTTGTAGCACTCTTCTTGCCGAAGATTAACCATCGTGTTGTCGCTATGTTAGGCGGAGTGTTGTGTGGATCAGGTATTATTGCATGCGCTTTCATCAAAAACAGAGTAACTGTTGGATTCTGTCTCGCATTATCAGGTAAGCTAAATATCTTGTAGTTTAGCTATGCAGCTCATGTTGTGTCCTGAAGGGTGTAGGTAGAGAGCCATACATACGGTAGCTTTTGAATATGTCATGTTTGCCCTATCTGTTAAATTTAAACGTTAGCAGTGTCCTAATATCCAAATTATGCAAGGAAAACCGTTTATTTGCAAGACTTCACTATCAGACACTATTGAGTGACTGACTGGCTTTTTTCTACTTTGATAATAACATACATAAAATGAGCGGTAAAGGGTACATGAGCATTTTTCTACATCAATAATCCACTTTTTGTAATGGCCAAAATTAAACAGATTGAATCGCAGCGTACAACGTACGACCATTCGGTACAATGGTCTGAGCAAATCAGACTTTTACTTACTGGCTATTTAGCTCGTAAGTTCATTCGGCAACTAATACTCCGCACTTAAAGACATTTTCAAGCCCCCCTTTTTAAGGAAGTTCTAAATTAGTATTATCTTTCGAATGCCGTTGGAACTTAACTTTTTCATTTTTTGACCTGCAAATGGGACAAAGGACCTTTAATGTACACATTTCCAGTAGCCTCATACACGGACACTTCCCAAAAGAGAAAAAATGGAATTTACAAATCAGTTCGGTTCCAAAGTGTACTATATCCATTCAAGTTCTGCATTGTAAGTTACAAACAGTATGCATGAGTTCCGGTTCCAAAAGGTACTACCTCCACAACAATTAACAAACTCATAACTTCATAACAAATATCTGTGCAGATTTAGATTTGTTAAAAGAGTGGTTTCAAATTTGTTCATACAATAGTAAAATCAGCCAAAGTTTGATTGCAAACTGACATGGCTAACTTTGATAATTAAATAATGGTGTTTTTCTCTGAAGTTGGATTTATGGATGAAGTACCTTTTAAAACGGAGTTCTTCAAATGCTCTTCTGGAAGCCTTCAACGGACAAACGTGCCAGAGGTTGAACAGCACTTAGAAACAGACATAAACTTGTATACCCAGGGCAGGAAACTCCTAAAGATCATGGACACAAAAATTTAATGGAAATGGGGCAGTGCCGTCCTACGCTTCTTGTGCAGTAGTAATCAATATCTTTGTCATCATTTTTCTTTTCACAGGTGTTGGCTTGTCAATGTCCTTCATGCCAACCATCCTTGCACTGAATGATTTCTTTGGAGAACAATTCGTTTTGATGAACACAATCGCGTCATATGGCTACACCGCCGGGTCAATGCTGCTCCCTGTTGTAATGGAATGGTCCTTCGAAGCGTATGGCTATGCAGGGGCGTTTCTTATCCTTGGAGGTATCGCTCTTAACCTTGTCGCGTGCGGTGCAACGATACGCAAGACACTATTAAACGCCGCTACAAATAAAGACAACATTCATGATAAAGTGAAAGAGAAACAAAAGTGTCTTCCTAAAGGAGAGTCCGCAAAACAAACAGAAGGTAACCGTTATCGTGAGGAGGAGGAAGATGAGGAAAAAGAGGAGCAGGAGGAACAAGAAGAGGATATTGAAGAGTGCGTCTCGGAGGAAAGGCGTTTGATTCAAACCGAGAGACGTAATGTAATTAAGCAGGAGACATCACGGAATGTGCGCTCATCTTCGACAAGCGCCGTTTTTCAAACCAGCAAACGGTTCTGTGGATTATTAAACGAACCACTTTATCTCTTCACCATCCCGATTCATTTCTTGATAATTTTCTCCATTTATTCGTGGATGCTGTTTCTGGTCCCCCATGCTGAACATCTGGGAATCCCTTCTTCCAAAGCAATCTTCCTATCTACAATTGGCGGCACAGGTGGCATCATCGGTCGGACCATCTTCATCATCCTAGTCGGTAAAGGCATCAATGTCTATGTCGTCTACATCGTTATAGGCCTCATCGGCACGGCATCATTTCTACTGGACTTTATCAGTGCTGCTTACGCGGTGCGTGTTACCTTGGCTTTTGTCCAAGGTTTCTCCTTCTTCATCGAGGATGCTATCATGTCCAGCTTATACAAAGATGCAGTCTTTGATGATCGGAATTTCAACATGGCCGTGGCTCTCAGTGTTTTCGCGGGAGGACTAGGGGCGATATGTGCCGGAACATTTACAGGTGCGTAATTCATAGCCAGCTTTTTCTTTTCAAACATAATGAACATTTGATAAATCAACTTAAGTTAAATACCCCATTGTATGTATTGCCGTTATAAATTATTGTTAGACAATAGACTGAGAAAGATGCGTCAATGGAAGTTGCTCCTACTTAGTCAGGCATATCATAAAGCCTTAAATAGTTACAGAGTTTCATGATATAAGTTATGATCACGACCCCATACGAATGTTTACATCGGTAATGATCTAAACTGTATCAAATCCTAGACAAATGCCTCTTATAATGTTATGATCATTTCCTAGGTTATCTGTTTGATGTCACCAAGTCGTTCACAAGGGTGTTCATCATCATCGGCTTCATTCACGCCGTTATGGTCGTTCATCTCTTCATCGTAGCGATCCTCATCAAGAAACGACGACAAGATACCATCTGTGATGTTGACGACTGAGGATTTAGAGGAGGCAGAAACGTCTCCCTAACTTTCCTTTTGAAATCTTTCAGTGAGATACAAAAGTGGAAACAAGTGAATCATTTAATGAATTGTTAACACTGTAGTTAAATATTATAGCCTCGTTTTAATTATTTATTCATTTTTTTTAATAGATTATTTCTATTATTCTGTCGCTCCAATTTGGGGTATTCTGGGGTGGCTAGGAACAGTGTGTGGTATATGTGTGGAAGTGTGGTCGGGTGGTGTGTGTTTCAATTCAGTTCAATGCATTTATTTGTTCAACCATCAATATATATATATATATATATATATATATATACAGGGTGAGTGAGAAAGAATGTCCCATTTTTTAAAAGTTGTATTGTTTGAAGTATGAATATTTATTTAGGGATTTAATGATATGTCTTGATAGAGTTATCCTCCAAGTACATTTAGGTACCATTTTCATTTGAATCCGTAGCTAAGTTAATAATTTACACTTAAATTTTGCGGGTAATTTAATATGTTGTTATAAATGCAAAACTGGTGCCTGGCCTCCGAAATTCCCCGCAGTGGAAGCGCGGTCTGGTGCAAGGAACTTCAAAGCCAGGTGGAATGTTACACAACCCATTGTTACGCTTTCAAACTCACGAATGCGTTTGAATAGTTTCCACTTCTTTCTTTCACTTCCCTGGTTCAAGTGATGAAGCCAGATAGGACCACGTAACGAAAACCGTACATAATATATTTGCAGCTACGGAGCGGATAGGTTGAAAATTCTCAATCTCTTTTGTCGATCATATTTCTATGTAGCTTGATATCTCATGGTAATTTTGAAGAAAAGGCAAACCAAGCAACGATTTCTGAATAGTAGCAACAATCGTTCGCCTTTGCTGCTATTCAATAATAATATGAGAAGCAGTATTAATTAATTTTTCAAGGACTCATGATAAAATCTTATAACAGTTGATTATCCTCGGTTAGAGATAGAAGGAAACGGTCTCACGCTTAACGTTGTATTACTGTTCCTATTTGTTCGTCGTCTCTACGATGCTCTGTGAATCAAAAACAGCTTTTGTTGTTAGGCTCCCTGAACGGAATTTCAATTGTTGTTATTTAAAGAAATGTTTTGTTGCGCTCTGTAAATTATGATGATGGGTTTTATCTTGCCTTAGGGATCTCTGGCAGCAGGCGTGCGTGGGTTACAATGCATGTTGTAAACTGAGTTGTGTCTGGCCTGCTATTATTGTATACATTACTGTATCATGATTGTTCATGTCTACAGTCTCGTTCGAGTGACCTCCGAGTCGTTCAATGACCTCAATATTTTAAAGTGACTATCGCGTCATATTTCTTTGTTAACAAATAATTTGTTTGCTCTATTTGCTATTTTTGCTATTTTTGCTCGTTTCACGTTGTACAGTGCGTCCCAGAAAAAACGAAACCGAGAAATATCGATGTTTTATCATAACTTAATCACAACCATAATTAATGAATGATACATCTTTGGAAAGCTTAGAGTCTCTTCTTTCAGTTGATGCTACTCAGATGATGCATATTTTACGCATGAATGATTAAAAGCAATTTGAAGGAAGGAAACCAAAAAGACATTTGGCGGGCGGTATCTGAATTTCGAAGAAAAATTCACATATTTTTTTTTGCTGCAAAAGATAATAAGGATAAAAATGATCAGAAAAAATGCACCACACTAGTCAAGTGTGGATTTTAATTCATTTGATTCCTCGATTGTCTTGTTTGTGCATGGCTAATCGTCAACGAAACGGAGTTAAGTGTTTTGTCAACTCCGTTTGTTGCTACGGCAGGGAGCCAGTGAAAACGAACTCGTTTAACCAAATTATTGAAAGGCAAGCATTACTTTAAACAAACAGAACTTTGTTATTCTTGGCCCATTTTTCCTGATTGAGGTGTCATATGAAAGGCGAGAAATTGAATCTTATACAAATGTGATTTTCTTTTCGAAATGCAGATACCGTCCGCCATATGACTTTTTGGTTTCCTCTCTTCAAATTGTTTGTAATCACTCATGCGTCAAAGAAATGCATCAAATGAAAGAGGAGTTTTTTCAAATATGTGTCATTTGTTATTTATAATTGTGATTAAGTTATGATAAAACATCGATAATTCTCGGTTTTGTTTTTTCTGGGACGCACTGTTTGAAGAAGCTATGAAGAAAATCGAGCGGTGGAAGCTGGCTCCCCTAATGTCACGCAAAGAAAGAAGTCCAGCTAGATATACTGAGGGATCGCAGCAATATGTTTCAGAATCACAAGAAGAAAAGTATCGTGTAGAGTTCTTCAAGCTAATAGACAGTGCCTTTCCAATTTCAGGATCTACTTCACCTCAACTGACATAGAAGAAAAAAACAAGACTGGCATCGATTCTACTATGTGGATCAATAGAGGATGATCTAATTGACAAGTTTGAATTGTGGGATGGTCTTAGGTATGAAATGGTCTTCCTCCAACATCAGTTCAAATATTCTTCTGTGGAAGAATGCAGGAAGGAATTTCAGGGCATGATTCCGGAAGTTAGGGGGATGTTCCCAAATGTTGAGCAACTTCTGAGACTCCTGCTTGTTTTACCAGCAAGTTCTTGCCAAGCAGAGAGATCTTTCAGTGCCCTAAGAGAAGTGTAAAAACATGGCTCAGAAATACCATGAAGCAGGAGAGATTGAACCAAGTCATGTTGTGCCAGGTCCATATAGGGAGCGACTTGCACATGCCAAAGCCAGGGACACAGCTGTTGCATTTGTTAAAAACTCAGAAAGCAGAGAATGTTTATTTGGCAGAATGAAATGAAACTTTCAGAATCAATAGAACAAAATACTTGATCTAAGCTTAACACAAATAGCTAAATGTGGGACAATAATTACGGAAATGTGTATCAGAAGAGTATTCGCGACTTCGAAATTCGACCAGCGATATACAGAATATTCTTCTATGTTTCAAGACACATTCATTCCAGAAACAACCAAAACATATTTTTAGTTTTGTATAAAGCATACGCAATGAAGCGAAAATACGATCGAAAGTGAATATTTTTTCCACTTACTCTGCTCATAATCACAAAGATCACAGACAAGTGCTAGGGCTTGCGAATTGCTCTTAAAATTGAGAAATCGTTAGGCTCGGCCATCCAGTCTTTTTCATGAAAAAAAATAACGCCAATCAGTTTGCTTCTTGCAACAGAAAGATGCGTTTGATAAATCAGTTGCAAAATTTGCAACTGATAATATTTGCAATCGATTGAAACTCAACTTTCTTGCAACGCCTCACCATAAAAAAATAACACTTCAAACATTAAAACATACAAATATTGCGAGAAACATTTTAATTTAAGGTTTTCTGAAAATGATTGTCAATATTAAAATTGAGTGGACACTATTCGCCAATCGAAGACTCATCTCGCCGATCTAGGAGACACATATCACCGGTGGAGACGCGATTTCGCTAAGGCACATAACGCCACGACACCAGTTGCGAAAGCTCCCTAAAGCAAATTAGATCGCGACGGTAGCCAGTACGGAGACGGTCACATCTCATTTAAGTACCCCGTAGTAGAACTTGCGTCGCCGTGCAAAAAGTCCCTAATGTCATAAATTGAGAGGGATTCCAGATGAAAGTGTCTTTTATTGTTTGTTTAGTTTTCTACTAATATTCTTTCATATTTATACTTCAATTTGTTTAGTAATGATTTAAAGGAACATGAGGATATTTCATGTAGGCCTGTTTGAAGGGTAGCTCATGAAATATTTAGGAACTAATTTGCCACGAGACTGTGTGCTCTGAAAATACATCTGAAGAACCGTCCAAATTATACTATTACACTTCTCTCCTGCCTACTACTATTTCGAAAGAGGAACGCGTCTCTTTTCTTTGTAAAAACTGAATAACGTTAAATCAACGCAAACCTAATTTCGGAAATTATCATCGGTTCGATAATCATTTTAAGGGAAGTTTGAACGCAGGAGAATATGCCGGGTGCTGCGAAGTTGCGGAATGAGCTATATACCTCTTTGCAAGTCAGCTTCAACTGCCTAGTTCAAGGAATTCTGAAAACAGTGTTTAATTTTACACGTGAATACCTGATATGTTTTCTTATTTGTAATTCTTAGTTAAGTACCTTCTATCATTATTTGTCAACATATAAGGTCCTGTTGAAACACTCGTTCTGCCGAAGATCAACCATCGTGTTGTCGCTTTGTTGTATTTACTTATCATTATATAGGCCTATGCACCATCCCATAGAACTATCATTCAGCACCCTATCAAAACTTAAGTCACTGGACAGTGCCTCTTTTATTTTTAGCAAAATATGTTCTAAGGAGAATGACGGGAAAACACGTCTATCGTTACATTCATCTCCATTCTGCTAAAAGTACCACATATTTTGCCAAGCTTGACTGGTATAATACGACAAAAATATGTGTTTCAAGTAAAACAAACCAATTACAATTAATAATGAATTACTTTCGTTTTTCATATTTAAAGAAGTAAATTTACTGTTATTTTCATTTCGTTTTCTTTATAAAATCAATGGGTCGGGCGACTTTGTACAATGTGATTTTAACAATCATATTAAAAATGGCAGCTGCTTAGTCATAAAGTATCATTTAACAGGAAAGATACTATGTCCCTTTTACAGCCAACATCAAAATATGTAGAACTTTGCAGGTATTTTGAATTTGTCATGTATGTCCTATCTGTGAAATTTAAACATTAGCAGTGTCCTAATATCCAAATTATGCAAGGGAAACCGTTTATTTGCAAGACGTCATTGTCAGACACTATTGAGTGACTGACTGGCCTATTTTCTTCTTTGATAATAACATACATAAAATGAGCTGTGAAGGGTACATGAACATTTTTCTACATCAATAAACCACTTTTTGTAATGGCCAAAATCATATTGATTGAATCGCAGCAAACAACGTACGACCATTCGGTACAATGGTCTGAAAAAAATCATACTATTACTTTCTGGGTATTTAGCTCTTAAGTCGACAACTAATACTCGTTATTTTCGCACTTTAACCCTAATAAGGCCGGGGGGGGGCATTGAGACCCCTCCCCCCCCCCTCCACGATTTTTTCGATTGCTCGGGAACGCATATGGATGGCGCCCCGCCGCTCGCTGACTTTTTTTCTTTCGAGTCTTGCGCAACTTTAGATTTTTTTGTTTTGAAAATCGGACCTACGGTTACAAGGTCACGTGACCTTTTGTCTTTGCATGTCAGCTCGAAAATCGCTCATTTTCGTGATTTGTGTACAAAACATATGGAAAAGTCGTTTTTCCTAAAAACAGATCAAACATGGGTTATTGGGTCTTGTTTAAAGTTAAGGTGGCTGTTATGGGAGTCAAAATAATTGAATTGTAGTAAGAAATTAAAAAAAAATAAAAAAAAACAAACAATGAAATGCATAAGTTAAAAAAAACAATGAAATACATAGGAGTTACATGATATAAGTTATGATCACGCCCCCATACGAATGTTTACATCGGTAATGATCTAAACTGTATCAAATCCTTGACAAATGCCTCTTATAATGTTATGATCATTTCTTAGGTTATCTGTTTAATGTCACCAAGTCATTCACGAAAGTGTTCATCATCGTCGGCTGCATTCACGCCGTCATGGTCGTTCATCTCTTCATCGTATGGATCCTCATCAAGAAACGACGACAAGATGTCAGCTCTCATTTTGACCATTCAGGATTTAGAGGAGGAGGCAGAAACATCTCCCTAACTTTCCTTTGAAATCTTTCAGGGAGGTACAGAAGTGGGAACAACTGAATATTTTAATGGATTATTAACACTGCAGTTACATATTACAGCCTCGTTTTATTATTATTTGTTTTAATAGATTATTTATATTATTCTGTCGCTCCAATTTGGGGGTATTCTGGGGTGGCTAGCAACAGTGCCACGTATATGTGTAGGAGTGTGGTCGGGTGGTGTGTGTTTCAATTCAGTTCAATTCATTTATTTGTTCAACCATCAATATATATATATATATATATACAATCAAAATAAGTTACATTAATACTTGAGAAAAACACATTAATGGTTTGGTGACCCCGGAGAAAGCAGAGCTTATAAAAAGGGGCCCCCAAATTGAAATACCAAATTGTGTTTGTGTGTGTCGTGTGTCGCATGGTGGCGGTAGTATTGTTATTGGTTGGATGTGGTTATTGTTTTATGTTACAACTGATTTCATTTATTTTGTTCATCGATCGTACAATCTATGTGTTGAAAATGTATTGAATCATGTCAATATGAAAAACAACTTTATTTCTAAAAAATGATTTGTATTGTTTTGGAATCAATTTACAACAACTATTGACCAAAAACAAAAACAAAAGTGTGTACGCGAGAGCGTGACAGAAGGAGAGAATTTTTCAGAGCATAGATGAGACTTACTTCTGCTCACGGCTCTGAGTTGCTATAACTTATAACTCGAGAGCGTCATGGAACTTCTCCCCCCCCCCCCTGGACCTCAACAGGGGTTCTAAAGCAACCCCATCCAAGACAACCCTTTGTTATATCAGATTATTTTCAGGAGGGAGAGTGCGTGTGTTGGAGAGTATTGATTTCTCACGAAATAATGCAATGGGGGCAGTGCAAATTTCAATGGCATGTATAAGAGGTGTTACCGCTCAGAAAGGCTTCCTGAGGGTTCTGAACTGTTACAGCTTGAGACCGTCTAGAGGTTTCGCCCCATGGAACCCCGACGATGGGGCGCAAGCTTACGCCGTCGCCAAGAGGGCCTTGTGGCTCTTGAGAGAAACAAAAAGCTACTCTAATTCTGGCATAAAAGTTATTTAGTCATTAATATGAACTAAATTTAACATCTGAAATGTTATATGTGGTCATGTCATTGACAGAAATCATCCCGATTTATCAATTTGTGAGAAGTGAAGTAAACGAGGGTAAAAGGAAGATACTTTCTGTAGTAAAATAATAATAAAAAAAAGATACTTTCTGTAGTATGAATTTCGTCTCGATGTTAAAACAATGACACAATGATAAATGTATTATGTGTAAAAGAAACATTGTTATCGGAGACATTTACTAACCACCCCGAGCCGATCCTAATAAATTTCTAGATTTACTGGAAAGTATATTATCTGCACCTTCTCTTGTAAATAAAACTGGTTTCATTATGGGAGACTACAACCTAAATATTTGAAAATGTAATACGTGTAATATATGTCAATAATTTCATGCTCTATTGCTCTCAAAAACATTTGTACCCCCCCCCCCCAAAAAAAAAAAAACAAAAAAAAAACGACCCAATATTCACTGATTAATCAACCCTTATTGACAATATTTTCACCAACTTCCTTGAACAAAAGGTTAACTCAGGGATAATATTATGTGATATGTATGTTCACTTCTACCCCTCCTATAGAACGCTCTGCCTGAACAAAGACCCGCCAATTTTCAGAAAACAATGTCGATAGTTTCAGAGAATGCTTAGCACATACTGACTGGTGCCAGGGGTACAACAATGTCAGTAATAGTGCTAATGTAGCATTCAATATACTATATATGTATACTATCCTCATCCCTTAACAATCTACTCGAACAAATTACAAAAAAAGTCTTTACATCTCCAAGGATTACAAATTCTTTATTGCGAATCTCAAACAAACGGAATCCGAATGAAAACAAAAATACTCTATTTACCGTAACACCGTTACATCCCTCTTACGAGCAGCTAAAAGACTGTCTGTGATGATAAATGTTTTCATCAACGACTCAAGGTTGTTCGAAAAATCTGTCTTTTTCCTTTTTTTTCCGGTGAATCAAACCTTTTCTTTCCAAATAAAAAACACAAAAACGTTCTGAATACAGTAAAACTAGATCCATTCAAACAATTTGTCACTTAATCAGAACCAGACAAACTTCATTTTAATCAGTAATACAAAAGAACATTTACCGGAAACAGTATTACTAGACACTTTGATTCTCGCTCAAATTGAACAAAACTAAATTCCATGATATATATCGAGAAAAAAAATAAAGTGGAAAATAACCATAAATTATACAATGCCTATTGATGGTGGTGGTTATTATTTTTTTTTTTTGGTCTCGAAATTTGAAAATTTGACATTATGCTACGTAGGGAAAGGTAAGGTCACTTTTGTTTAGGTCAGCCATTGGCATAATTTTGTTTACTCTTTTGAACAAAAAAAAAATCCACAAGGGGGGGGGGGGGGTGCTAAAACATACACACATAATACACACATAAACAAACTTAAGGGGGGGTGGTTAATCCCAAAGTGTAAATACCCCTCCCGCCATTTCCGTATTCTCTATCACAAATGAGAAGGAAAAAACCAACATTCAGGTACAAATGTTGGAGGCATGATTCCTGATATCATTACAGATACTCAAGATTGTGATTAGGGGTACCGGTTTCCAACATCTACACTAAATGACGAATAGAAAATGCACTTTCGAAATTATATACAATACAAAGAGTGCCAGGACAAAAGAGTAAATAAAATGAAATTAAGATTTGTTTGGAAGATGACAGAGTAAAGATTGTTCATCCAACAAAAAAAGCAAATTACATTTTAAAAAGACGTTTAAAGCAGAGGCGGATGTAGGATTTTGCAAAAGATCGGCGCAGACGAATTGAAACAACTTGAAGACATGCAAGCAAAGCCAACCAAAAAGAATAATAAAAAAATACAATTGTCTAGGTACTAGAGTAATCAATATAAAAATGAATAAATAAAAAAAGAATAAAAACAAATACCTAGAAGGAAACAAATTAATGTTTAAACTTGTGTCCTAAATCGTGGGTTTCCAAAACGGGGAAGGTGGGGAGGTTGAACCCCCTCCCCTAAATCGCACTTGTTTTTAAACTGAAAGCTTATTTCTTATCCGTCGTCTCTTGATGAGGATCGCTACGATGAAGAGATGGACGGTCATGACGGCGTGGATGAAGCCGACGATGATGAACACCTTCGTAAACGACTGGGTGACATCAAACAGATAACCTAGAAAACGATCATAACATAGAATGATCAGTCAGGGAGTTGTAGACAAAGCGTACTAAGTTACAGTTAGATAATAACCTATGAAAGCATGCGTATAGGGGTGCGTATATACCTGTACACTGTCGCTCATATTGTTGGAATATTTTTGTTTAACCTCAATTCATGGAAATATTTTGACAATGATTTATTGAATAATAATTTGCCAGTGTTTGTTTTGCGTGACTGCTAAAGCATGTGTATGCTACTATGCTTATCAACTAGGGGACTTACGCCCTTAAGTCGTGAATGACAGTAATGAGGATTATTGCCCCACAAAAGGGCACTAATATAGCACATCGACACGGTTTTGATCCTGCCTTGAGCCATAATGCATGGTCGTACAGATGATTTATAAGTGACATTTTCAAGTGCCTCTCTCGATCTACGGTGAGTGCCCTCATTATATATTTGAGAGGTGACACATTCAACGTTGTAATGAGCTCCTTTTTTCATATCTAATAAGTGCCCCTTCTATATTAACACTTGCCCTTCTCCTTTCTAATGGTGTATTGTCCTTAAGTTCTTTTTGCAAAGGTTCTTGCGATCATGTTTGAAAATAACAAGTGGACTGAAATTTACGCACCTGTAAATGTTCCTGCGCATGTTGCCCCTAGTCCTCCCATGAAGGAACTGAGAGCAATGGCCATATTAACATTTCTATCGTCAAAGACTGCTTCCTTGAATAAAGTCGCCGAAATTGCATCCTCGATGAAAAAGGAGAACCCTTGGACAAAGGCCAATGTAGCACGCACCTCGTATACAGAACTGGTGAAGTCTAACAGAAAGGATATTGTGCATATGACACCTATGGCAATGTAGACAACAAAGACGTTGATCCCTTTGTATACGAGGATGATGAACATGGTTCGACTGATGATGCCCCCTATACCGCCGATTGTAGAGAGGAAGATTGCTTTGGAAGGAGGGATGCCAATATGTTCAGCGTGGGGGACCAGAAAAAGCATCCATGCATACATGGTGTAATATTCCAAAAAGTTAATAGGCAATGAGAAAAGAAAGATACCTTCGTTCAGTATTCCGCCAGATCCTTTACAGGTCTGAAAGAAGGGTGTGGTCAAGGTTGAGCGTGCATTCGTTGATGTTTCATGCTTACTTTTGCAACGGCTCTCGTTTTGAATCAAACCTGTTTGCTCCGAAATGCACTCTCCACTATCGTCCTCCTCCTATTCATCTCCTTTCTCCTCCACCTCCTCCTTCTCTTCCCCCTCCTCCTGAATATAAATCCTGTCTTCCTTTCTCTCTAATAATTCCTTTTCACAATGGCACTTTCCTTTATCCTTCACTTCATCATGAATTTCGCCTTCATTCGTAGCGCCGTTTCTTGATGACTTGCGTATCGTTGCACCGCCCACGACGAGGTTCAGAGCGATACCACCAAGGATAATAAACGCCCCTACATAGCCATATGCCTCAAAGGAGCTTTTCGTTACAATAGGGAGCAGCATGGATCCGGCGGTGAAGCCATATAACGTGAATGTGTTCACAAAAACGAATTTTTCCCGGAATATATCATTCAGTGCAAAAACGATGGGCAGGTAGGTCATTGACAAGCCAGCACCTGCGGAAAAATAGTGATGATGATAATGATATTAACAATACTTTTAATAATTATTAGTTTTAGTAATGTTTGTCTTCATAATTTTCATACATCATTTTAACATTTGTTCATGATTCCACAAAGTAGATGGTAAAAAAATAAGAGTGAAATATTCAAGGACATATGGTGGAAGCCATGCTTGTCAGCCTAAGGCCCCGTAGGGTAGTGAATTGTGTAGCAGTCTTTAAACATAGTAGGATGGAGCTATTGATGTCAATCACAGAAATAGCAATCGTATTCCACCACTCCCCTCCTCCCCCCCCCCCGAACAAAATAAACTATGATAGCGTAACTTTCTTCGTGATAATGTAACGAACTTAATTTATTTAAATACATTTTCATTACCTGTATAAACATGTATTACGTGCAGGCTTTGCAAAACTACAACAACAACAAAGAAGTCACGCTGAAGTCTGACGGGATTGAAAAGTCAGTCAATAGTGTTTAATACAAATGTAATGGGCCCGTAATTGGTCGGTGACGACAAGTTCAGAAACAAAATGAAAACGAAAGAAGCTCGGATATACAGTGTGAGTACAAAACAAAAGTTTACACCTAGAAAATTGCTAATTATTTTAATAATCATCTATGAACAGTAAATTATTATAAATCTTATGAAAAAATGTTTTATCCCAAATCATTTGGTATCGTTTTTGTGAGGTATGTGTTTAAGCTTGGATGAATAGGGGGCATTGTTTGCGATTGTGCAAAAATCGACTTGCGCCAAAGTTGCTTATGTGATGTGTAAATAAAACAATTGGGATTTGGTTATTAAATCGGTTTTTGCCGATCCAAATAACATCCCTTACAAAATTAATCATGCCACACATAATTAAATATCAAATATCAACGATCACGTGTGTGCGTGTGTGTGTGCGTATGTGACTCTGCTTCTACAAAAAGCATATGCAATGCATTTCTTTTGATACATTCAATTCATTCTCTCACTCCGCTAATCCCAACATAATACATGCAGTAGGCATCACTTTGGCGAAAGTCGATTTTTGCACTCTTGCAAACAATGCCTCCTGCGCATCCAAGCGTGAACACATATCACACACAAATTATACCAAATGATTTGGGATAAAACATTCTTTCATAAGACTAATAATAATTTACTGTTCATAGATGATTTTAGAAATAATTAGCAATTTATCTAGGTGTAAACTTTTTTTTGACTCACACGGTACAGTTGAAGTCCAGTCAGCCGAAGCTCCACTAGTTTAAACGAAGATTATTTATTTAAGGACATTTTAAAATAGCTTTTTCTCTCAGAGGCTGGGCCACCCTTTAGATTGAGTGAAACTTACAGCACATCCTTAATATAGTATCATAACTCAACTACAGAATTCCGCACATGGCATTTAAATACTCCGGCACCCGACGAGGCTTAAAGATAAAGGTGAGTTCTGGTCATCCGATTGCATTGTGAAAAGAAAGGTGGGAATGGATCAGAAAAAGTTGATAATGTAGTATGTAAGTATTGGTGTGTACTGCAAAGTCCTGGAGTCATCAAATTCATAATAAATTTGGCCCAGTCTTGGTAAAGTAACAAGCACTGTACACAGAAAGATGTATATGGCACTACACAAATGGTGTCGGGGCTACCAATCTTGATTTCCTAATCTTTCTATGCTCATTACTCAGCCAGTATACATTTTCTACCAAAATTTTTTTGCAAATTACATTTATTTGCAATCTTGAACATTCAGTGTAAGTTTCGCTTGGTTCTCTGAGATTTAAAAAAAAAAACAGAACTCACCTTTATCTTTAAATATCATATGATATTATTAGCCAATCAGGAGGACCCTTACGAAGACAACCAATTACAAGATAGGATATATAACAAGACCTTTAGGTCATCCGACCTCTAGATCAGTTCCATCCACCAGTTAAGAGAGGAGTTATACATTTAATTAAATATAACCAATGACAAAGCATAATAGATAGAGTGACTTGGACTAGGCATCGACGAAAATGGGAGGAGTCTATAGCTTCTCGAGAATGTGAGGTCCCCGGAAAAACTGTCTATTGTCTAACGTATTTATCGGAAATGAACACCTGTTGTGTAATGCAGGAATTCAGGACCAGGAGTTGTTTACCCATTCCCGACATAATATCGGGAACATAATTAATGCTATTCAACTTTTAGATGTATACAAAGTCTAACTAATAACCGTACAATTATTGATCAACTCAACCCAAATCCTCTATTGCTATAGCGCCCCCTTTAGGTCAATGTGTTGCCCAAAATCAGTGTAACCCTACAAAAAGGAATAATTAGGGAAACGCACAATGTTGAAGCGCGCGACGATCATGGTGAACGGAACCCCTCGCGACTAGTCACTAATCAGACTCCAGACGCTCAACCCTTGTATGAATGAGAACACCGCCATTTTTGTGATGCCAGTGTCAATCAAAAGTACCACCAATTTATAATAACAATAACAAAGCCCAAGACCACACACTAGAACTTGCTAAGTCAATCTTATGATTAATCCAATCCAATTCCAAAAAGGGTTTTGATTTAGGCCTAGCCCCCTGAATATACAGAATTTGTAACAGGCGACAACGTTCCATTACGCCATTGAACCCTTATAACATCAGCTTCACCTAATTTGTTTACATTAAAGTGGGGGCCGGAGTTGGTCAGATAGGTTAGACAAACAGGACATATAATGGAAACTGTACGTAATACAGGGAGCGGATCGGAATATCAAACTCCACGAGACAAACTCCTACAGTAACTATGTTTTTGAAGAAAGCGCTGGCAATAATACATGATCCACACAACACTCCGCCTAACATAGCGACAAAACGATGGTTGATCTTCGTCAGAACGAGTGTTACAACTGGACCTGATATTGACAAATAATGAGAACAAATACTAAATTACAAAATACTAAATTTAAAAATACAAATATGAAAACAAATAAGGTAAGCACTTGTAAAAGTAAACAATATTTTCAGAAACGTTAACGAATTCCCCATCATCTAAATGTCAGAAGTATGCTTACATGAAAATACGATTACACCTCATTGTTGCCCGAATATAAGGTAACGATTACCCAAGTAAATTATTGGAAATTTACGGTGGAGGAAAATGAGGGCAGGGAAGAGGAGGGCCAGGAAAAGGAGAATAAGGTGGAGGATGTTATGCCGTCATTGTAACTTCGGCAAATTCGACCCCTGTTGACCCTTACTTTGGAGGGGTGCGGAAAAAGAGGTTCTAATTTAATTGTGTGAAATAATAAAAGGGTAAATACTTGTTATACCTTGATATTTATATTCTACATTCATTCAGTTTTACATTTATATCAAGTTGGATATTTATCGAGTGATCGAGTGATTTTTCGAGTAATTCGCTCTCTGGATGTAAATACATGTACGGTTTCGTGACATAACTTGACTTGCACTCCCATTCATCCATTGTATAATATGACCTACTTGTTGCCTGTTAAGGCCCGGTCACACACAGACGACGCATGGGGGACGCACGGCCGGCGCATTGAAAATTTGCAATTTTGGAGAGTGCGTTGTCGTTCGCTAGGCGTGCGTTATCACTCGTTACTCGTTCGTCGAGCGCGCTGGACCAACGCTATGCGTTCACCGTCATTCGCTGTTGTGCGTCGGGATTTTCATATTTCAATAACTAATCAACCAAATTGCGCCCACATTTCGTTTAGATGTTAGTCATGACCATGCAGACAAGCACATTTTTATAATAACACGAAGTTTATGGGAATTCTTCTTCATTATGCAAATGACGTTCTAAGTTCATGTCTGTTACGATCAACTTTAACCAGACGTTTTTTTTTTCTTCAAAGATTATTCCATGACTTTTAATGAGAGACGCCTTTTAGGGCACCATTTGTTAGAGCTGAGAGCTGACAAGTATGAGCTCAAATATTCGATCTTACGTGAGATGCCATATGGGGGTGTTTCACAAAACTTGTCATCAGTGACAAATAACAAACCTAGGTTTGTCGACAAGCCAGTCCTACTGTATACTACGCTATGAACGGCACGGCCAAAGTTTTTTTTTTTTTTTTTTTTGGGGGGGGGGGGTGATAAATGCTTTAGGATTAATCTTAGAACGAATGTAGTTTTCTGTAATTTAGTTTCCTGCAACTTCAAAATTCCGATAACTCTTTCGATTGTATTGCAATGCAGTCGTATATAAACGATCTTTGAATAGATGGGGCCTTACATAGGTAATGATGAAGCCAGGACTACGCATTATGTGTCCCATAGGCATTCATGCATCCTATTTATATTGACTTGTATTTGCATGTTGTTGATATTGCAAGTTCGTCGTCAATTTTCGCAATACAGACCTACTGCTTTTAACTTTAAAATCGATTGTAGCCCAAATGTCGGTTTCTTGTTTAGGTTCCTCCCAAGTTGTTGATATTTATACGACTATTTTCTAATGTTCATTTAGATCCACATTAATGAAAACCTGTTTGAAGAGAAGCTGATGGGAATTTTAAGGAACAACCTGCACTTTGCCACGAGACGGTGTGCTGTAAGAATACAGTAGAAGAACCGTCCAGTTCCGT